GTGGATATATCAAAATACCCCAAGTTGAGAGCATTTTTGAAACATAAGAATGACGGCTATACACCTAAAAAGTCAAACATTTTTACAAGAGAACAAGTCAACGTGTTACGGGCTTATTATTATTATTATTATTATTATTATTATTATTCTTTTAATAATGTTTTTATAATAATATTTATACATATCATTTTTAGTTTTTATTTTGGATAATTATATATTTCTATTTGCTATAGATATAGACAATGTAATTCAATGCATGTCAGGACATATAGCTCATAGAGTAGCTATTTTCTGTAATATCAACAGTTAGTCTTTAAGTCTTTAAGGTGTTACCTTGTACATACCTAGATTTTTGGTATCAAAGAACATTGTTTGACTTCATTTAACACAGTTTTTTAGCAAAAATGTTTTGAATTTGTTTGGATGAACTTAATACTCTGCTCTAGGGGCGGGCTATCCGGACATTTATCCTGGGCGCCAGTTGTCCGGGCGCAAAAATTTGGGGGAGCATTTTTGCTGTAAGTGTGAGAAAAATATTTATGTGTTAAATAGAAAATTTCGTATATCAATTTTTTCGTTCGCTAAAAATTTACAGTGCGTAGCGAATTTATACTTTTTATGTCTAATTGTAATAGCTAAAAATATTTACAATTATTAATGCTAAAGAAAACAAACATGAAAGAGCTATATGTTTAATTAAATAACCATTTTTCCGTTTAAGTAGAAATATTTCTACTGTTTTGTACTGCTTGATTTATCATTATCAATTTTATGTCACGTTACATGTTTTAAATGCAAATCTATATAAGTAGACCAATCGAAATAACTCATTTAGAGGGAAAAAAAAGAAAATTGTTATCTGGACTTTTATAAATGGAAATGGTAAAGGGGCTTATAATAAACGAAAAAAAAAAAAAATAAATGCGTTAGCAGGGGCGGCGGAGGGTTGATTTGGGGGTTGAAAAGTTATGAAAAATTGTATCATTGGGATTTCTGGCGAAAGTTGCCGTGAAACAAAAAAGTATCCAATACAAAAGTTGTAGATCGTGCAAAAATCTACATATTTTGTAGAGGTCACTTTTTAACATAACCTCAAAATTTCCGAGAAAAATGCGAAAAACAGGTTTTATTCTTATTTTTCATTTTTTATTTCTCATTTCCTCAAAAATTATGTAATTCTGACGAAACCTGGTGAAAATATATCTTTCTGTATCTTAAAATAACCACAATTTTTTTTAGATAACAAAATTAAGGAGTTTCCGAGAGATTTTTTCTTCAAAAAAAAATTCTACTTAGAAAAATCATCGTACAGAGTTTTTTACAGAGCATTTTTTTCGTTTTGACATATACTTTTTGGTGAAATAAAAAAATTACTTGTAACATTTTAACATTTTTTTTTCAAGTGTAATTTGGTTGGACTAAAGTAGGTAGTGTTGATTATAATGTAAAACGATTTGACTTTTATTTAAAATAAAAAGTCGAATCTACTGTTTTGTATTACTTGATTTTTAATAGTATGTTATGTTACATGTTTCTTTCTAAATATGTATATGCTTTTATTAAAATTTAAATAAAATTATTTGACTGTTATTGAAAATAAAAAATATGTACCTTTATTTAAAAAAATAAAAACAGCAAAAATTAACATCACTTTGCTCTATGAACATAGGCGCAGAAAACGTCATGACATGTCATTACGCGTCATAAAAACGTCAAGTTCAAAGTACTTTTCTTTCTGTTACTGGACGCCTCACATTGTTTTATAACCTAATAAGCAGCATTAACGGTCTCATCCTGTCACGCATCGTGAAGTCATTGCAGGTAAGTTGTGGTCATCCAATGTTATATGACGTCATCTCATGTCACACAAGGTAATAGTTCCTTTTGAGTAAATCAGGTTTTACTGTAAGTTAATTTCTGAACATGTATCGATTCGTAAGCAAATAATTGAAATATATTATCAAATTCCTGATGCGTAGCTGTGTCATATGACGTCATGACATGTCATTATGCGTCATAATCATTACGTGTCATAAAACGTCAAAGTACTTTTCTGTCTCTTATCGGACGCCTCTCATTGTTTTATTATCTAGCATTGACGGTCTCAGTCTGTCATGCATCGTCATTGCAGGCAAGTTCTGGTCATACATTGTCAGCTCATGTCACACAGGGTAATAGTTCCTTTTGAACAAATCATGTTTTACTGTGAGTTAAATATCTGCTCACATTATATCATTTTGTAAGATTGTAATACATTATCATATTTCTGATACGTAGATGTGTTGCATGACGTCATATGTATATATACCTATCGGGAGTATGATAATGAACTACAATTAATTGCTAACGAAGTTTGCGAGGTGTTTTCAAACCTCGCTGAACACCTACAACTTAAAAAATGGCACAGATTTGACCCATATGAACGCGTCTCCAGTGCAGAATAGTTCCAACTTCAGCCAGCTGTATCTTAAAATCCTGAGGTCATAGGAGTTTCTGCCCATTGAGACATTTGATCAGAAGGAAAAAATACATAACATATCAAAATTCCAACCAATTTAACGGAAGTCAATTTTCCATAAAGAAATTGCGTGGTCCTTTGAGGCCTCGTCATGTCAGTGAAGGAATATTAACAGATTCAAAATATCTCTTACCATTCTTGAAATATTGTAAATAAAACAATTGAAAATTCTGATTTTAGAAAATTATTTATTACACAAAATAGGAAGCTGAAATCTATCCCAATGATGTATGAACCTACAGAAAGTTCCAAATTATAAGTTTGCAAGCTGTTACTATGTTAGTAAGCAGAAGTGATTTTTATTAAACAGACCTTAAGAATCTGATTTGGCAGATAAAGTATATTTCTCCTTAAACAGGTCACTCACAAAAAAGCTTAACTCTTTTCAAAGATTAGTATATCAAAATTTGAAGTTCATATTTTTTTAGTAAGTTGTAAAACAATTAACAATTATAGCTGAAGTATAGATACTGTCACTGCAATCAGTTTAGATTGTCAATTTGTCTTAACTGAAAGATATCAGTTGTCAGTAGATCAATATATGCACTTGAAACTAAGGCGATGTACATTTAAATATCCTTTTAATCACTAAATTTATTCAAAAGAAGTTATAATCTATGCAGACGTATAAGAATATTGGAATTGGTAAGGCGACCGCACTTTAAAACTTGTAATTTTTAAGTAAAACATCTATGTATTCTTAAAAATACTAGGAGATTTTTTTGTTATTTTAATAAAAAGCGGTTGTACATTTTTTTTTAATTAAATATTAAATAAGGCTATGACTTTTACCTATAATTAGTACTTACATGTGTAAAACACAGCAACAATTAGTAACAACAGCTTCATTTTCAATTCGCTTCTGATAATCTACTACCGCTTCGAATTATTGATGGTGCATAAATAGTAAAAGCTTATCTTTAAAATATTTTAAGATTAATCGATTTCTATCTAATACAATACTTCAACACGAAGATTCACCTATATATTATAAGATTAAATTATGAAGTGTTTGTGAAAATATGTAAACAATTGTGCTTAATTTTCTATAGGTACTTATATTATTCATTGTGTTTCAAATAATTCACTCGATTTAAGAAAATAAGTGAATTTGTTTACTTCCATGTTGTTTAAAGTTATTTATTTGTGGCACAGTTTTAGTTTCTTGTTTGGGTATTTTCCTGCATGTGAAAAAATATAAAATTGATTAAATATGCCATCGCGCCAAAAGGGTTATTTTACGAAACTGTGTTTACCTAGCCAAAAATCTGACATTGAAAAAGCGGACTAGTAAAGAAAATAAAAGAATACACTTCACTAACTCATGCACTTCAGTTAGATAACGTTTCGAAAAATTATTTATTTTCGTTTCAAATCTAAGAATGTTTCTTTTTGTGATATGTTTGACAGTTTAAATTTTGTTTGTTTATCTCTTGCCATATATCGTATCGTATGATATTTATTCTGTTATTGCCTCTTCTTTTAATGTTAGTAATCAATAAGGATAAGGTCTTTTGACATAATAAACGGTATAAATTTTCTTCTCTGAAATTTTAACCCATATGACCATTTTAAGCGTATTCACAACTTTTTTATCTATTTTAGTATTTAAAGTCAAGAGTTCTTTCAAGCACAATATTTATTGCATTACATGATATATTACAAATGAAATTTTTTAAATATCATTATTTCATCGCATTTTTGATACATAATGTTAAATTTGTATAATATACAGGGTGTTTGGAAAAGTTGGTAAGGGGGTGAAAGTAGAGCAAAAATTAGTAAAAAAAGTTCCTATAAACATTGGTTCTCCGGAGCACTGTTACTGAGATATGGCCCTCCAAAGGGGACTTATCATTTGGATATTATTTAAAATAACTTTCTTTCTGATTAAGATAACGGAATGAAATTTGTAAGTAATAATCATACCATATGGTTCTTTAACTACCATAAGTTTCATCAAAATCGGTTATAAATAAGGATAGTTTTGTAACTACTCTTAACAGAATTTTTTTATTCCTTTGAATTATCAAGCAAATAATATTATTTTTTAATGAATTAGACTTTTTTGAAAAGAAATGTATCTACTTTTTTTTCAAAGTCTGAGTAGTTTAGTCAGAAATAATTATTTTTTAAAAATGTATGGTTCAGAAGTCTCAGAACAGTAACATTTTTTAAAACATTTTTACATAGTAGGCATCTTTCATAATGACAGTTTCATTGTAATGAGCACTTTATAATGAGACAAAAAAAGTTTTTATAATGCTTGGGTATCAGTTATTTCCAAGATGTTATGTTCTGCCATTCAACGAGAATTATGGCTATCGAAGCACAAATGGTTTAAGGATGTTGGGGACCATGGATGGATGACCTTGGATTTAATCTCGAAGGTCATTTGAAGGTTAACTTCGTTTCTTTTTATATCGGTACCTGTATTCCTGAGGCTGGATTCTGGAAAAGCGATAAATTTTACACCCGAATACATTGCAAAATAATAAGAGATTAAATTAAAAGTTCACTTGAAGACCAAATCAACAGTTAACTTTGGCGTAGTAATGAAATAACCTTGTAATTCAATGGTCCACAAATATTGGTGTGATAATCAATCTCACTTACTTTGTAACGTAGGTACTCAAATATATCTTTTTCAATTCTCAAGCATAGGGGAGAGCAAACAGTAGAACTCGTTGTAACCTTAACCTTAACCGTAAGGTCAAAGTTGAGATCATATTCGGATGTAAAATTTTCTGCCAAATCCATTCCCAGGTAAAAAATAGAGGCTCTTATTTAAAATTATGAAGTTGGCCTTCAATTGACCTTCAAGGTCACAGGTAAAGTCAATTTCAAGGTCATCAACCGCTTTCCCCCAATGATCTAACAACTTTTATTTAGGATCGGAGGCTTCACTGTCGAGATGTTCACGTACATCGATTGATACAATGGGACACGTGATATGTATACGAGTATATCATACAAAAAAAACAGTTGGACATGTATGATTTTCATTTAATTGAAATAACACCAAACTATTGAAATTATTTTGCTCTCAATTGAGTGTCAATATCCAATTACAGTCCATGTGACAGTTTTATTCAGTTGAGTGAACTCATCTCAATATTTCCATTTCTGCCTACGTATTTCTACCTTCTGTCATATTTTGGCTCGTTGAACAGTATATCTTAAAACAAGTAAATCGTACATTTTCAATCGATTCATATTTTTAAGTTTTAATCTAAAATTTTATGAAATTTTATTTAAAATTTTTATGGGCATTATTGACTATTACAAAACTTCTCCCTCCACTTCCAAGAAGAAATTGGGCTTGAGAACACCGTCGGTGTCTTTTCGATGCCTTGAAATGACAGATTTGCTACGCGCAAGGTTTTTGTATCTTGTCTCACCGTACATTTTTCTTTGGCTCATGTGACCCACGATTAATAATAATACAGTGACGGATGATGTGTATGGAATCCTCGTCTCCCAGTCCGCAAAATCTACACTTTGCATTGGCAGTAAGTTCAATTCTATTACGATAATTGTTTAAACGTCCATGACCTGTTGAAATTCCCGTGATAATCCTAATGATACTTCGTAAATTCCGACTTCTATAAAAAAAACAGAGCTGTCTCAAACCAGATTCACTCGACCATTCATCCATTCATCCATTGATTACTCTTTGATCAAATCATCAATATTAAATACCATTGAGATAGCTCAATTACTTGTCTTGGTCCCATAAATTGACTGCTACAACGTTGTTTGACTAATTTTCCAGCCAAATCAGCTTGGTTTACTGATTTATGTACAAACACAACAAATATCCCATAATTAAGGACTTACAATCCGCCATTAAAGTTTGGCACAAGGGTACAATCAATTACCATACGGTTAGTATTGTAATAACGAAAATCCCAGATGTAGGGGAAAATGTACAGACTACAAGCAGTTTTGTAAAATCGCAAATTTTACAAGTGTTTCTAAAATAAAGTTAGTTCTCGGTTAATTCTAAGAAAAAAAATCTAAGCAGCTTCATTTCTGTGTTAAACAGGAAGAGATAATATATTGAAATTTACTTTATAATTTTATTCCTGACCTATCAAATCATGTTTCATGTTTTAAAGGTAAATCCTTAAAATTTTATTAAAACATCGAGTTTAAAACATCCATTGGTGATTGCGAACATTTCGTATTTAGTCACTGGAAATATTGACTTCGTCAATAAGAGAAATGCGTCTTCATTTGTTAAAAACTTAACTGACGAGGAAAATGAGTTGAAAATAACACAGGCACAAAAAAAAGTCCAAACCCAAGAGATCCACATGTAATTTTCGAAGGAATTCGATGCGCTGAACACAATCCTGAAGTCAAAATTCATGACTCGCCGATAAATTTCGTAGAAAAGTGAAATTTTTTGGTGAAAACTGTTCCAATTATGGGTCAAAATTGATTTTTTCCTAAATTTTATCCAAATATATCATTGTCGTAGTATTTTGAGGTGGTCAAAACGATGTCATTACTAAAATTTACTTATGATCTCCATATTTCTTAGAAAAGCCACAATTTGGGTGAAAACTGGTCCAAGTATGGATCAAAGCTGACTTTTTCCTAAATTTTGTCAAAATATATCACTTTTGAACGATGAAGTCTGAACAAAAATATATGGCTATTAGGATTCCCAATTTTCAAGACGAATGATAAATCATCAGATCAAGCTACGTAATTATTATTAAAAGATTCTAAACGTCATGTTACTTAACAGATAATAAATAATAATTCAAGTAATCACATTACGTTATTAATAAAATATGATGACCTTTTCATTATTTTTGAAAACACTGTCTCCTAAAGTGAAAAGTTTCCTACGTAATATATTTAAGAAGTTGATGATATGCAGTACTCTATAGTGTCCTATTAAAGTCTGATCAAATATTGTATTTAAATCCTATATTATATTGGTAGCATATTAAAGTTATAATAAATCGAATATTTAGATTTTAGAAATATTACCGATCAACAAAATTGTATCTCCGAGATATTTTGAACATTTTTGCTATTTTGGCTGTAATTTCAGAAAGACCGAATAAATATTTAATTATTTATTAACATATTTATTTTGACAGTCAATTACACCGAACAAGCAATACGACTTTGATTACAAAAAATAATAAAAAGAAAACATAAATCGATTATACAGGGTGATTCAGTCATAATGACAGAAAATCGGAAAAAATTTTTTTACTCGACTTTTAAAAATGAAGGAAATCAACCCATAACTCCCAATAATGGTTGGTTTATAAAAAAGTATTAGTCCTAACTTAGCCGTAACTTAACCTTAATCTTAGTCCTAAAAAGTTAAATGTACAGAATGTAATGTTTCGGTATATAAAAATCTGAACCTTGCCCTAGTCCTAAGGAGGTCTTAAGACATGACCTTGAAAGTTCGCATCTTTTAATTTTTCTAGGATTAAGACTAAGATCTGAGAAGTGCGCATGCACAAGTATTGCATTTCGTAGCATAGTGGTCTCCTGTCTTTGTCTATGGTGGTCGCCATTACGCCATTACCATAGTAATAGGTTATATTTTTCTTTTCACTCACCAACAAAACAAATAAAATAACATTACCACAGAATAATAAACAAGTATTATGCTGTGATATTACTAGCCATGCGCGTAGTCAAATCGCTCATTGGTTAATCTTAATAAAATTAGGACCACACATTGTTTTTATAAACGTGTACCTATTCTTAGGACTAATACTAAGATTAGTGTAAAGGTTAATACTAAGACTAAGACTAAGTTAGGACTAATACTTTTTTATAAACCAACCATAAGAAAGCAGTCCGGCCAGATGCCCGAATGCTCGGAAAATTTGTAACGTAATGTCACGAACCAGTCGTCAGCTGAAGCAAACAGCGTTG